ATGATTTTCTAGGTGGAATTCTCATAATAATCGAGTTTTAAGTCCGAGAATCTTACCTCCAAGCGTTTCCCCTTGAAACCCTCTTCAATCTCCTTCAAAAAGCTCCAAAAATGATCAACTATGGAGGAAATAAGCTTCAAAATCGCGGACAAGACGAGTTTAAAACATTCTGCCCAGGCATAATTTTTCTTCATCGCGATCGCGGGAAAACCTTCGCGATCACGAAGCACAAAAATTCAGCTCTCAAAATTTACCCTACATGAACACAATAAGAACCCTGCGAACGCGATGCTCTGCCCTTTTTACTCACTGCGATCGCACACATGCTCACGCAATCGCGAAGCTGCAACTGACTGACCTATGCGATCGCATTCTACCTCACGCGATCGCGAAGAACAACTACTCCACCTCATGCACCTCAGATCCTTACGCGATCGCAACCACTCTAAGGCGATCGCATAGAACAAAAATCATGCTGCCCCAAATAACCCTATGCGATCGCATAGAAGGACATATGAACTGAACACCAGCAGCAATTTCTGCAATTCTCCAAGTCTGAAAGGTCCGTTTAACCACCCGAAACTCACACAAGGCCCTCGAGACCTCAACCAAATATGCCAACATATCCCATAACATCATTCAAACTTGTTCCAACCTTCGGAACACACAAAACAACATCAAAATACCAAATTTGCATTCGATTCAATCCTAAGAATCCCAAAATCTTCTAGGTTACGCTTTTGATAAAAAATCCAATCAAACCACGTCCGAATGACCTGAAATTTGCACACATATCCCAAATGACACCACGAAGCTATTGCAACTTCCGGAATTCCATTCCGACCCCTATAACAAAATCTCACCTATCAACCGGAAAACGTCAAAATCTCAATTTTGCCAATTCAAGCCTAAGCCTTCCACGGACTTCCAAAATGCATTCCGATCACGCTCCTAAGTCCCAAATCACCATACGGAGCAAACCAAATCATAAAAAATTTCGATCCGAGATCATATACTAACAAGTCAAATCTTGGTCGAACTTTTCAAATTTCAAGCTTCAAACTGAGAACTATTCTTCCAAATTCATTCTGATTACCCTGAAAACCAAAACCAACAATTTACATAAGTCATAATACATCACACGGGACAAGCCATGCCTGAGAACCGACGAGAAAAGTGCAAAAGCTCAAAACGACTGGTCGGGTCGTTACAATGACACACAAATTTATTTATAAAAGAAGAGCATTGTTAGTAAAAGAAATTAGAGAATAGAAAAACTGATTGTCGTAAATGCAAACTCGAAGCAACATGGATGAACCGATAGAAGATAAAATATTCTAAAATAGTTGTCATTAATTATTTTTGTTTCTTTTTGTGTTACTTGTTTATTTTCTATATTAGGTCACAGAAATAATAACGATTTTCATAATATCTTCTATAAAAGTCCACAAATGTTATAATATGACATCTGAGAACTTTTATCAGACAAGCTTTCTTCCTTTATTGAGATAGCTAAATATTATTAAAATTTATTATTTTCAGGAACTTACACTTTTATTTTTAAATTATATTTTATAATTAAAATATATTATTTAGTAATATTCATATGATTTTTAAAATTGTGTAGCACATATCCTGGGCTACTTCTTTGAAGATGTGCAAATAAAGTAATAAAAACAAGAGGGATTTTAAGGAACCACCGTAGTTTAGCGGCTATTAACTTCATATAGCTACCCTATACATATTTACTTCCTATAGCTAATATTTCATCACTATCGGACTGTATTCGCTGTATTCGCGCTACTGTATTCATGAATAGAGTAGCGAAATTTGCCTAATAATTAGGGAGTCCAACTAGGGCTGTTCATTCGGATTGGATATCCGAAATCCGAACCGATCCATTCAATTTAGGATTTTGGATTTTGGATTGGATCAGATTTCGGATTGTGTTTATTAAAATTTTGGATTTCGGATCGGATTCGGATTGGTATATTTAATCAGATCCGATCCGAAATCCGAAATTATTAGGGCATGTATAAATACCACACTTTAATTTCGGATAGTCAGTACTTCCTTTACATCTTCCTCCAAGTTATTAGCTTTACAATTGCTAGATTTAGCTATATTGACACCATAGTACTCTCATAATTGCATAAACATGAANCGCATAAACATAAATTTTTCTTAATGTATTGCCTCTTTTACAAAGAAAATATACATATTAGTTTGCAACTTTGAGGCATAATAATACAATTCGATCCAAACTTTAAAATCCGATCCGATATAATTCGGATCAGATTCAAATTGCATTTTCTAGAATCCGAAATCCGAAATCTGAATCCAAAATGTGCTAAATCCGATCCGATACGATCCATGCACAGTCCTAAGTCCAACTGTTTAATAACGGAAAGGGGATCAATTAGCATGTAGCACTCCTAATTTAACTCAACAAAATCAATTCTACAAAATTTCATTGCTACTGTGTTATATTCCATGTATTCGCGCGACTGTATTTATAAATACAGTAAGGTAATCTGCCTAAAAAATAGGGATCACAACTATTTAATTATGTATTTCATGTATTCGCACGACTGTATTTATAAATTCAATGAGGTAAGCCGCCTAAAAAATAGGGATTACAACTGTTTAATTCTGTATTCCATGTATTTGCGCGAATGTATTTATAAATACAGTGAGATAATCCACCTAAAAATGGTGATTACGGGTGTTTAATAACGGGAAGCGCAATATTGAATTGTATTCACTTTCACTATATTGAATCAGTTGTATTCAAACAACAAAAATTAAGAAATAGGGTGTATACCGTTCTATTCAATTCGATTGTATACATTGTATTCAATACACTGATATTCATTATTCACTATTATAGATTGTATTCAATTGACCATATTCAATTTGACTGTATTCAAATAACAAAAAATCACAAAACAGTGATATTCGGCTATATTCAAAAAAGACAGACTCAAAATACATAAATATAGGCAAAAATATAATACAATGTATTTGAGTGTATTTGTATCATTGTATGTGACTCAATAGCATAGAAGAGAAGAAAGTTCGCCGGAGATGGCATTTTTCGGGCAAGCAAAATTTGTATGCATTGTATTAAAATTAAAAATGGAGACGAACAAAAACCCGACCCTCAAATCTTCTCCATCGATTCTGCTTCAGATTTTTAAAAGCTCAATCTGTAGCCATGACCAGATCTGTTCGCCTACTCCCTCTTCGCTTCAAATCTATTCTCTTTGCTTCAGAAAATCCACCATCGCCACCATAAATGGCTACTATGATGGCTACCTTGATGGAAAAGGGAGAAAGATTTGAGGGAGAAGAGAGATGATTGAGAATCTTGGTGACAGAGAGAGAACAAAGAGAGAGAGAACATAACTGACGTATTTCACTCCTCAATGATAAGGTATAAAATAAATATCTATTTTGCTATAAAATAGAAAATGTATATATAGATAATAATATTTTGAAATTATTTTGGTTTATTTGTTGATCCAAGCACTTATAACCATACAAGCAAATTCTCTCTCTGCCAAACGCTCCCTCTCTATCCCTAATGGTCAAAACCAGACCACCCCACCCCACTAAACAGTGGCGACCACCCCACGCCGGCGACCACCCCCACTAGCAGGTAAGCCCACCCCCATCTCTTACGCCTCCCTTCCTTTCTCTCATTTTTCTTCTTTCCCCCTTCCCCACTCCCTTACTAAAGCTGTATTTTGCTGCTCTACTGTTGTTCTATTTTGGGTTAGGTAAAAAGATTGAATTTTGGGTTTCACTATGAGTCTGAAATTTTGGGTAAAAAGTTGTTTTTGTGCTTTTTTTGTGTTTTTGCTGATCGTTGATTCATATATATTGTTGAGTTTACTGTTATGAGTTTTGCTATTATTTGGTGATTATGCTTGAGTCTGTGATTATTCTGTCCAATTGATCACTCCTCGAAAAAATTCACCTAGCTTTGCTCGGTATTTAGTAATTGTTTCTTTGGATTCTTTTATTTGTTGTTATTGTTGATTTATTTTTCTAACTTTGTTGTATTTTTTTAGGGTTCTTTTTTGACTGTTATTTATTTATTTATTATTTAATTTATTTTTTTAAAAAATCAGAAATCAAAAAATTCAATTTAAGGTTTTATTACAACCTTTTTGTGCTCTTTTGCTATGGGTGGGGCCTTACCAGTGGTAGCGGTGACAACCTCTCCTTTGTTTGTCTTCGTGGTATTTTGTGCGTGTTTCAGGTTAGGGGCTGTGGCTATTAGCGGTGAGCAGAATGCGCCTGTGTAAACATAAGGAACAACCCCGACAAGGGTCAACGAGGGGCGGTAGAAGTGGGACGCGAACGTGCTAGGTGGACGCAACATTGTCGTATATACCAAGACAATTCCCAAGTTCTACTTGCGGGAGTTGGTACCTCCTGTTTTTCTTTTCCCCTTTATTGTGTTAGTTAAATTATTGCAATCTTAGTTCCTATTAGTTTATTCACAGTATTAGTGCGCTTATAGTTGCAGCCTGTCTTTGTCTAGCTTGGTCTGTTGCCTTATGTGTGTTAGTGATTTCCCTTATTCTATCGTAGGTATAGTGGTTGTGGTCTGGGATGGTCGAGTGAGGTCATGTCCTCGGGGGGAGCAGAGGGTGGGGTNTATAGTTTAAGAAACGAGTCATGGAACGTAGGTACATTGACAAGTAAGTCTATAGAGTTGGCGAAGATTCTCCAGAAGAGGAGGGTCAATATAGCATGTGTCCAGGAGACTAGGCGGGTAGGGTCGAGGGCGAAGGATGTGGACGGGTATAAACTTTGTTACTCAGGAGTCCAGAGAGGTAAAAATGGAGTGGGTATCTTGGTGGATAGGGAACTCAGAGAGTCTGTGGTTGAGGTTAGACAAGTGAATGATAGATTGATGGCTATTAAGTTGGTGGTTGGAGAGCACACCCTGAACATCGTTAGCACCTATGCGCCGCATGCGGGCCTAAATGAGGAGGTTAAACGACGCTTCTGGGAGGGGGTTAGATGAGATTGTGCGCCAGGTTCTGCCTGCTAAGAAGCTGTTCATAGGAGGAGATTTCAATGGTCATATTGGGGCGACCGCAGGTGGCTATGGCAAGGTGCATGGAGGCTTTTGTTTTGGGGAGAGGAATGGAGGAGGTACCTCGCTGTTGGACTTCGCTAAGGCTTTTGGGTTGGTGATTGCGAACTCTAACTTTCCGAAGAGGAAAGAGCATTTGGTTACTTTTCAAAATGAGGTAGTGAAGACTCAGATTGACTATCTCCTCCTCAGGAGGTGTGATAGCTGGTTGTGCAAGGACTGCAAGGTGATTCCGAGTGAGACACTCGTGATGTAGCATGACTGTTGGTGCTAGACGTTGGTATTAGGTTTAAGAGGAAGAAAAGTTTTGTTCGGGGAAAATCAAGAATCAGGTGGGGAGCCTTGACTAAGGATAAAGCCCAAGAATTGGAGTGTCGATTGTCGGCTATGGGAGCTTGGAGGAGTAGTGGGGACGCAAACACTATGTGGTCAGCGACAACAGACTCTATAAGGGAATCTGCGAGAGAGGTGTTAGAGGTCTCAACCAGTGACTCTGGTGGGCACAAAGGAGATTGGTGGTGGAATGAAGTGGTCCAAGGCAAAGTGGAAGCGAAGAAGGAGGCATACCTGAAGTTAGTGGAGAGCATAGGTGAGGAGGAGAGGCGAGCGTGCGTGGAGAGATATAAGGCACATAGGAAGGAAGCTAAATTGTCGGTCACGGAGGCTAAGAATGCGGCTTATGGTTGTATATACGGGGAACTGGGGGAAAAGGCGGGGAGAAGAAGTTATTCCGGCTGGCCAAGTTGAGAGAGAGGAATGCTCGAGATTTGGACCAAGTGAGATGCATTAAGGACGAAGATGGTAGAGTACTGGTGGAAGATGCCGAGATTAAGAGGAGATGACAGACTTACTTTCATAAACTTCTGAATGAAAAAGGGGATTGTGATATTGTGCTAGGAGAATTGGAGCATTCTGAGAGTCACCGTGACTTCGGGCACTACAGGCGTATCGAGGACGAGGAGGTCATGGGGGATATGCGTAAGATGAGTAGGGGCAGAGCGACCGGGCCAGACGAGATTCCGATGGAATTTTGGAAGTTTGTAGGGAAAATAGGTGTGGAGTGGCTGACTGGGTTGTTTAATGTTATTTTTAAGGCGAAGAGGATGCTGGATGAGTGGAGGTGGAGTACGGTGGTTCCATTGTATAAGAACAAAGGTGATATCCAGAGTTGTAACAATATAAGGGTACCAAATTACTGAGTCATACCATGAAAGTATGTGAGAGGGTGGTTGAAGCGAGAGTGAGGATGACAGTGTCTATATTCGACAACCAATTCGGGTTCATGCCGGGTTGTTCCACCACAGAAGCTATACACCTTGTTAGGAGGTTGGTGGAACTGTACAGAGAGATAAAGAAGGATCTGCACATGGTGTTTATTGACCTAGAGAAAGCAAATGACAAGGTTCCTAGAGAAGTTCTCTGGAGATGCTTGGAGGCAAAAGGTATGTCGGTTCCTTATGTTATGGCAATTAAGGACATGTATGATGGGGCTAAGACTCGGGTTAGGACAGTAGGAGGGGATTCTGAGCCTTTTCCGGTTGAAATGGGGTTACACCAAGGCTCTACGCTCAGTCCGTTCTTATTCGCCCTGGTGATGGATGCGATAACAAACCATATTCAAGGGGAGGTGCCATGGTGCATTCTATTCACCGATGACATAGTTCTAATTGATGAGTCACGAACCGGTGTTAACGAGAGATTGGAAGTTTGGAGACAGACTCTTGAGTCTAAGGGTTTCAAGCAAAGCAGAACAAAGACAGAATACCTCGAGTGTAAGTTCAGCGCTGGGCCGAGGGAGGTGGGCTTGGATGTGAGGCTTGAGTCACAGGTTATCCCAAGTAGATGCAGCTTCAAGTACCTTGGTTCGGTTATCCACGAGGGAGGGGAGATCGACGACGATGTCACACATCGTATTGGGGTAGGATGGATGAAGTGGAGGTTAACATCTGGAGTCTTGTGTGACAAGAGAGTGTCAACGATACTCAAAGGTAAGTTCTATAAAGCGGTGGTTAGACCGGCCATGATGTATGGGGCTGAGTGTTGGCTTGTTAAGAACTCACATATCTAAAAGATGAAAGTAGTAGAAATGAGGATGTTGAGGTGGATGTGCGGGCACACTAGGATGGATAAGATTAGGAATGATGATATTCGGGAGAAGGTGCACGTGGCTCCCGTTGATGACAAGATGCGGAAAGCAAGGCTCAGATGGTTCAGGCATGTACAGAGGAGAAGCCCAGATGCTCCAGTAAGGAGGTGTGAGCGGCTGGTTGTGGAAGGCACGAGAAGAGGTAGATGGAGGCCTAAGAAGTATTGGGGAGAGGTGATCAGGCAGGATATGGCGAGGCTTCAGATTTCCGAGGACATGACACTTGATAAGAAGTTGTGGAGGTCGAGTATTACGGTTGTAGGCTAGGAGGCAGTTGAGTCTTACGTTACTTTGTACCTTTGTGAGCCTAGTTCGGTGGAGTTTTGTCTAAGATAATTAGGGGCAATGTCGTGTCTTACTATTTTCTATTTTTAACGCATGATCCATTTACTAGCCATCGTTTGCATTTTTCTTCTACATTTTATGTGCCTTTTTCCCTATGATCTCCGTGGTGAATCTAATATTCTCTCCTTTTGTCTTTTTATTATCTTGAGCTGATGGTCTTTTGGAAACAGCCTCTCTACCCCTTCGGGGTAGGGGTAAGGTCTGCATACACACTACCCTCCCCAAACCTCACCTATGGGATTTTACTGGGTTGTTGTTGTTGTAATAAATCGGGTGTAATAGTTTGCTATAGGAGATAAAATTTCCTAAAAACAAACATAGTCCACTTCAGACTGCTATGTAGGGTAAATTCCAATATCTTCCAACGGGAACATGTTTTGGAACAACGGTGGCAAAATGGTTAAAAAAAAAGTTAACCACCAATATTATCCATAAAAAAATGGGTTGGATAATGAACTTTTTAAAAACGGGTCAAATATGGATAAGAAAGATATTATCCATTTAGAAAATGGATAACCAATGGTAACCAATGGATAACCAATGTGTCTAACTTTTACATTTGTAAAGCCTTAAATTGAGGGTTCCTCAAGTTAGGGAGACTAAGAATTCTCCCAAAAATGATCATATGCAAGAAGTCATGGATATCCGTATTAAATAAGGGTCGGGTCAAATAATTTATCTGTTTTTAAATTATCCATTTTCGACCCGAACCATATTCAATCCAACCTGCCCATTTGCCACTCCTATTTTGGAATAACAATTGGAACTCACTTGCTCACAAAAATTCCACAAAGTTTTACGGCACATGATGAGGGGTAATTTCACGAATAATTATTTAACTTTTATTTTATTGTGCTAAAACTCTGTAAGTACTTTGCTTCCTTGATGACTCGATTTCGCAACCTCGGGGTTAGAGATGAATGGTACCACTTATACTACCCTTTCTTGTCAAACTAAAGCTTGTTCCAGCTTGTTCACTTATCTTCTAATGCATTAATAAAAATAGATCTTAAATATCTTTTTCCAACTTTACCCCCAATGAGTATTTTTTTGGTTTTTTGAGAATTAAAGATAGTTATATTATTACTAAAGATGTTCCAAACTATTACAAACCATAGGTGTGTCGCTTAGAATACATTGATTTCCCAAACTAGCAAGCATATTACAAACATTTTCTTCTTGATATTTAACAAAAAGAGGTCTTTCTCCTGATCATAAGCTAGCTTTTGCATTAAAAGTGGTGGCACAGCAAAAACAATTGTTTTCTTTAACTTGGACGGGTTGGAAGCTCTCTTTGCAAGCAGATGAGCAGCAACTCCCTTTGAAATCGAATACTTCAATTATCATTGCATTTGCCTTGACGGCAAAATACTAAAATTGATGAATATATCCATACTTAATCCTCATACACCCTCTAAAATAGGCTTTGGCAGCCTTTTTGAATACAGAAACACTATACAAGGTAAATGGTTAATTGGTCTACCGCATTAAGGACATTTTGAAGTAAGAAAATGTAACGATTCGGCCGGTCGTTTCGAGAATTATAGCCTCGTTCCCCCATTTCCCGATTCTCTTGTGTTCTACAACTGTATTATGACTTATCGGGTTAGTTGGTTCGGGTCCGGAGAGGTTTTGGAGTGAATTGAGACACTTAGTCTCTTATTAGAAAGCTTAAGTTGGAATAGTTGACCGGATGTTTACTTATGTGTAAACGACCTCGGATTTAAATTTTAATGGTTCCGTTAGCTCCGTTAGGTGATTTTGGACTAAGGAGAGCATCCGGAATGTGATTTGGAGGTCTGTAGTAGAACTAGGCATGAATTGGCGAAAGTTAGAATTTTGGCGATTTTGGTTGGTAGAGGAAATTTTGATATCGGGGTCAGAATGGATTTTCGGAAGTTGGAGTAGGTTCGTGGTGTCATTTGTGACGTGTGTCCAAAATTTGAGGTCATTCGGACGTAGTTTGATAGTTTTCAGCGTCGTTTGCGGAATTTGGAAGTTCTTAGGCTTGAATCTGAGGGTAATTTGCTGTCTTGATATTGTTTTGGGCGATCCGAAGGTTTGACTAAGTTCGTATGATATTATGGGATGTGTCGGTATGTTTGGCTGAGGTCCCTGGGGCCTCGAAGTGATTTCGGGTGGTTAACGGAAGGTTTGGAACTTGGAAAATGCAGCTGAAGCTGCTGGTTCTGGTGTCTTCCACCCCTGCGGAGTGGGAGTCGCAGGTGCGAGCCCATAGGAGCGACTGAGGAGCCGCAGATGCGACCATGGAGGACCTGGGGAGGAACCGCATATGCGAAGGCATTCCCGCACCTGCGGGCAGGCATGCGTAGGTGCGAGAGGGAATCCGCAGGTGCAATGTAGTTTCTGCACCTGCGATCATCGCAGATGCGGTCTAGAGGCGCAGAAGCAGTGCCAGGGTTTTTAAGTGATTTCTGCAGAAGCGGAGCTTGGTCCACAGATGCGGTCCCGCAGATGCGGTGAAGGGACCGCAGGTCCGGCTTCACTGGGTAGAATGTATAAATAGAGGACTTCGTGATTTTTCCTCATTTCCATTATTTTCAACTCGGACTTTGGAGCTTTTGAAGTGATTTTTGAAGGGGATTCAAGGATTTTCACTGAGGTAAGTCCCTTGAGCCTAAGTACCCTTAGCTATGGTATTGTTTCTTTAATTTCTCATCTAATTAGTGGGGTTTTGAAATGAAAATTGGGGGTTAGGTATTGGGATTTTGGAGAGTGTAATTTGGGGATTTGAGGGACCTAATGATGTTAGATTTTGATAATTTTTGTATGGTTAGACTCGTGAGTGAATGGGCTTTCGGGTTTTGTGACTTTGACGGATTTTGAGACGTGGGCTCGAGAGTCGGTTTTGAGCCAATTTTGGAATTTGAGTCCAATTTTGTAGTTTTCTTGTGGAATTGATTCCTTTGGCATATATTGATTGTGTTGCATTACTTTTGGCTAGATTCGAGACGTTTGGAGGCCGATTCGAGAGGCAAAAGCATGCGGAGTAGGATTTTTCTCAGATTGAGGTAAGTTGCCGTTGTAAATTTGGTCCTGAGGGTATGACACCCCAGACATTGTGTCTTGTGACTATTTTGGAGGTGATACACATTATAAGTGATGAGCGTGTGGGCGTGCACCGAGGGGATTATGACTTGATCTGCCCCGTATAGACTGTAAAATTGAAAAACATGTTGTTAGCTATATGCTCTCTATGTGTTTTGGAAATTTATTATAAATCATGTTAGAAACCATGTCCAGGCTATGTGTTGGTACTGTTCAGTCCTATAGAGGCCGTGTTACTTGCTAAATTGCCTGTTATGTGCTAATTGTACTCAGGCACAGTTTTTACTCATATATCGTATCTCAGTCTCTGATATTCTATCTAATACTTCATGTTATTGCTATTTGGGCTGATTTTTCCTAATTTCTAAGAGCCCAAGAGACTGGAGAGATTGAAGAATGAGAGAGGCCGAGGACCTGATTGTAAGGATATTTATGGGATCGGGCTGCACGCCGCTGCTTGTTTTATTGACTTACGCCATGATTGACTTGATATAGCGCTTGGGCTGAAGGAGCCCTTCCGGAGTCTGCACACCCCCGGTGAGCGTAGGTACCTACTGAGTGCGAGTGCCGAGTGCCAAGTACTGAGTGATTGTGAGGAATGAATGATTGAGATGAATGAGTGATTGTGAGGTTGAAGTGATTGGAAGGACTAAGAGATGATTGTCCGAGAGGCAGTATATGATTACATTATTAATGCACACATGTGCCTTATATCCATGTTTTAGAAAATGTTGAAAGATATTCTTATCTAGTTTTACTTGAGCTTGACTTAAACAAACTGATTTGACTTAAATTACCGGAATTTAGGAAGTATGACTATTTTTCCTTTCTGAAATTATTCAAAATGAACTAAAATTTGGTAGCTCGTCACTATCTTCAGTTCCTTATTTATTATTGTTACTTACTAAGTTGGTGTACTCACGTTACTCCCTGCGCCTCGTGTGCATATCTAGGAGTAGTTGATCGGGGAGGTTTTTGATAGTCCTTGTAGCAGTTTTGAGATAGTGAGGTAGCTGCTCGGCGTTCACAGCCTTGTTTTTCTTCTTCCCTATCTTTCTTGAATTGTATTTTGGATTTCAGACTATGTTAAATCTTGTTATGGTCAGACCAGTTCTATTAGATGCTCATGACTTAGTGACACCCCGATGTTTGGGGCTTCCGTTCAGTATTTCTATATTGAGTTTAACTCGTATTTCTTTTATAAAAAATCCTGTTATAAAAAGGCCTTTGGCTTATCATTTAATGAATTATTGAAGCATTGTGATAGTCGGCTGGCCTAGTACCATCGATAGGCGCAATCATGACAGAGTTGAGTTTAGGGTCATGACAAGTTGGTATCAGAGCCAAGGTTACATAGGTCTCACGAGTCATGAGCAGTTTTAGTAGAGTCTTGCGGATCGGTACAGAGACGTCTGTACTTATCTTTGATAGGCTGTAGAACCCTTAGAAAACTTCACATTCTTGAATTCTTATCGTGCGAACATGTTGATTCTGGTAACTAAACTTGTGTTATTCTATTCTCTCACAGATGGTGAGGACACGCGCTACTGGTCAGGACAGACAACCACCAGTACCACCAGTGGGAGTCGCAAGAGGCCGAGGTCGCAGTAGAGGCCATGGTAGGGGCAGAGGCGTAGCCCGCATAGTAGCTAAGGCAGCACCTGCAGATCCACCAGTTGCCCCAATACAGGATCAAGTCCCAGTTGTGGATGCACCAGGGGGACCAGCTCAGGCACTAGATGTGCCCTTCGTGATTCCAGGTCTTCAGGAGACCTTAGCTCAGATTCTAACCGTGTGCACCAGTCTAGCTCAGGCGGTCTCTGTTTCTACTACAGTAGCCACTTCCCAGGCTGGGGGAGGCACTTAGACTCCCGCCGCCCGTACACTCGAGCAGGTTGTTCAGGGACTCCAGACACCGGGGCACCACCAGCCAAGCCAGTTGCACCTGCTCAGGACTATATGGTTCCAGTCATGCCTGATGATGAGCAACGTAGATTGGAGAGGTTTGGGAGACTTCAGCCTCCGACTTTCAGCGATGCAGAGGGCGAGGATGCCGAGGGTTGCTTGGATAAGTGTCAGAGGATTCTCCGTATAGCAGGTATTATAGAGACTAGTAGGGTCTCGTTCACTACCTTTTAGTTCTTGGGAGCTGCCTTCACTTGGTAGGAGGCTTATGAGAGGTGTAGGTCTATTGGTGCAACGCCCCTTACCTAACAATAGTTCTCCATTCTCTTTCTGGAAAAGTATGTGTCGTAGTCACGCAGAGAGGAGCTGCGTAGACAATTTGAGCAATTGCGTTAGGATGATATGACGGTGATGCAACACGAGATGAGATTTTCTGAGTTGGCTCGTCATGTTATTTGGTTAGTTCCCACAGACAGGGAGAGGATCAGGAGGTTTGTTGATAGCCTCACATTTCAGCTACGGATTCTTATGACCAAGGAGAGGGTGTCTGGTGCTTCTTTCGAGGAGGTGGTTGACATTGCCCGGGATATAGAGTCGATCTGCCACCAGGAGCGAGTTGAGAGGGAGGCCAAGAGGCCTTGAGGATCTGGTAGTTTTGGTAGTGTTCCTTCTGGAGGTCAGTTTCATGACGACAGGGCCGTTTCTTCAGGCATGCTCAGACGGCTCGTCCAATCCACCGTGGTGCATCATATTGCCATGGTTCTCAGTTCTCATCAAATCCATTTATCACTCAGTGACCTCCTAGCCCAGAGTTCGTCCCATGCTCCATCGGTTTAGGGCTCCTCTATGCCAGGTCCTTGTGCTAGTTATCCTAGTGCTCGGGGATCCCTTCAGTCCCCATCACCAGCACCAGGGAGTTATTTTAAGTATGGGGAGTTTGAGCATATGTGGAGACAGTGTCCTTGCCGTCATAGAGGTTCAACACAACAGAGGAGTCAGGCGATATCTTCAACTCCAGTTATTTCAACGCCCGCCCAGCTAGATCGGGGTGGAGCTCAGTCAGCTAGGGGTCGCCCTAGAGGGGGAGGCCAATCAGGCGGTAGCCAGGCCCGTTTCTATTCACTTCCTGCCAGACCCGATGCAATTGCTTCAGATGTTGTGATCACAGGTATTATCTCAGTTTGCCACAGGGATGCCTCTGCATTATTTGATCCTGGTTCCACGTTTTCATATGTGGCATCATATTTTGCTCATTATTTGGATACGCCCCCCGAGTCTCTTATTTCATCTGTTCATGTATCCACATCAGTGGGCGATACTATTGTTGTGGACCGTGTATATCGGTCATGTGTAGTGAACTATTGGGGGATTAAAGACTAGAGTTGATCTATTGCTGCTTAGTATGATTGATTTTGATGTGATATTGAGCATGGATTGGTTGTCTCCATGTCATGCTATTCTAGACTACCACGCTAAGACGGTGACGTTGGCTATGCCGGGGTTGCCACAGATTGAGTGGCGAGGTTCATTGGAGTATGTTCCTAGTAGATGGATCTTATTCTTGAAGGCCCAACGGATGGTTGGGAAGGATTGTCTTTCTTATTTGGTTTTGTGAGGGATGTTAGTGCAGAGGCTCCTTCTATTGATTCAGTTCCGGTGGTGAGAGATTTTTTGGATGTGTTTCTTGTAGACCTGTCGGGCATGCTGCCTGACAGGGATATTGACTTCGGTATTGATTTGGTGTCGGGCACTCAGCCCATATCTATTCCACCGTATCGTATGGCACCGGCGGAGTTAAAAGAATTGAATGATCAGCTTCAGGAACTCCTTGATAAGGGGTTTATTCGACCCAGTATGTCACATTGGGGTGCACCAGTTCTATTTATGAAGAAGAAGGATGACACAATGAGAATGTGTATTGATTGCAAACAATTGAACAAAGTCATAATCAAGAACAAATATCCTTTGCCTCGTATTGATGATTTATTTGACCAGCTTCAGGGAGCGAGGGTGTTCTCCAAGATCGACTTGAGGTCAGGGTATGACCAATTGAAGATTAGGGACTCGGATATTCTTAAGACAACTTTCAGGACCCGATATGGTCATTATGAGTTCCTTGTGATGTCTTTTGGGCTGACCAATGCCCTAGCAACGTTCATGCATTTAATGAACATCGTGTTTTGCCCTTATCTCTACTCATTTGTTATTATATTCATTGATGATATTCTGGTGTACTCGCATAGGCAGGAGGAGCACGCCGAGCATTTGAGAGTTGTATTGTAGCGACTGAGGGAGGAGAAACTTTATGCCAAACTCTCTAAATGTGAGTTTTGGCTCAGTTCAATAGCGTTCTTGGGACATGTGGTGTCCAGCGAGGGTATTCAGGTTGATCCGAAGAAGATAGAGGCAGTTCAGAGTTGGCCCAGGCCATCCTCAGCCATAGAGATTCAGAGCTTTCTTGGTTTGGTTAGTTACTACTGTTGGTTCGTTCAGGGTTTCTCGTCTATTGCATCGCCTTGAACAAATTAACCCACAATGGCGCTCCTTTCAGGTGGTCGGATGAGTGTGAGGCGAGCTTTCAGAAGCTTAAGACTGCCTTGACCACAGCTCCAGTGTTAGTTCTGCCATCAGCTTCTGGTTCTTATACCATATATTGTGATGCTTATCGGGTCGGCATTGGGCGTGTTTTGATGCAGGAGGGTAGAGTGATTACTTATGCTTCGCGCCTGTTGAAGCCCCATGAGAAGAACTACCCTGTTCATGATTTGAAGTTGGCTGCCATTGTTCACGCGTTAAAGATTTGGAGGCATTATCTCTATGGTGTGTCTTTTGAGGTGTTTGCTGATCATCATAGCCTCCAACACTTGTTCAAGCAGAAGGATCTCAATTTGAGACATCAGATATGGTTGGAGATGCTAAAGGACTATAATATCACCATTTTGTACCATCTGGAAAGGCCAATATGGTGGCTGATGCCTTGAGTAGAAAGGCAGTGAGTATGGGTAGTCTTGCATTCCTTCTTGTTGGTGAGAGACCCCTTATAGCTAATGTTCAGGCCTTGGCCAATTGGTTTGTGAGATTGGATATGTGTGCCCACTGTAGATGGGCTTCGAGAGTTGATTCTAGAGGAGGCCCACAGTTTGTGGTACTCCGTCTAACCGGGTGCCGCGAAGATGTACCAGGATTTGAGATAGCACTACTGGTGGAGGAGAATGAAGAAATATATAGTTGGGTTTGTAGCCCGGTGTCTCAATTGTTAGCAGGTGAAATATGAGCATCAGAGATCGAGTGGCTTGCTTCAGAAGATGGAGATTCCAAAGTGGAAGTGGGAGCAGATCACCATGGATTTCGTAATTGGACTCCTACGGACTTCGAGGAAGTTTGATTTTATTTGGGTGATTGTGGATCAGCTGACGAAGTCCGCACACTTCATTCCTGTGAGCACTACCTATTCTTCAGAGCGATTGGTTGAGCCTTATATTAGAGAGATTGTTCTCCTTCATGGAGTTCCAATTTCTATCATTTCAGACAAAGGCACGAAGTTTACATCGCAGTTTTAGAGAGCTGTGCAGCGAGAGTTGGACACTCAGGTTGATTCTGTCACGACCCAATCCGATGGGCCGCGACAGGCGCCTGAGTCTTACCTGTCAAACACCCCTAAGCATGCGTCTAAAATATGAACCTAAATAACATCTGCTGCATTACAAAATTAACATACGTGAAAGAAGTCTGCCATCAAGGCATATATACTTATACAGGCAGAATACAGTGGGTGAGCCGGCAAGGCTGCTATAAACAACTATACATCAAAAACTGAAAGCCGACAAGGCCACATACAACCCAACTAGACATACTGTC